TGTACGCCTCGTCAATAACATTAGTGATGATTTTTGCATATTCCAGCGTTGGATCATGGTCCAGTTTTTGGTAGAACCTAAGAACATTCCATATAGCCAGGCACTGAGGATACGCAGAATTTGCTTCGACGATTCCTAGAAAGGTCTAAAGAGCTGGCTAAACATTTAATTAAACCGAGGCTACGACAAAGACCTGATTGCGGAGGCAATCCAAAGGGCCAAACAAACAAACCGTGATGACCTACTCAGATATGGACAGAAAGAAAAGGTTGATAGGATACCATTTATTCTGACCTATCACCCAAACAATCCCAAAGTAGGTTTAAATCATCGCAAACCACTGGCCAACCGTGCAATCGTCAGACATACTAAACCTAATACTTCCGAACAAACCTGTAGTAGCTTACCGGAGACCAAAATACCTAAAGGACATCCTAGTCAGGGCAAAGCTAACGCCAATCGCTAGTCAAAACCAACCTAGTCAATCTGGACCCTGTGGCGATAAAAGATGCAAAACCTGTCAACATATGATAGAGACCAAGACATTCACTAGCACAGTGACTAAAGAAAAACTAAACATACATGGTCCAAATAAAACGTGCAAAACAGAGAATGTGATTTATCTCATCGCATGTAAGATCTGTGGCCTTCAGTACGTGGGAGAAACTGAAAATCTACACAAAAGGATAAACCTTCATAGATCTGATTGGATGACAAAAAAGCTGTACAGAAGCCCGGTCGCAGAACACTTCTCCTGCCCTGGCCACACTTTCAGTGATATAATACTTATCGCTATTGCTAACAACCACAGCTGGAGTTCCGAAACCAAGAAGGAAAAGGAATCATACTGGATACGCCGCCTTAGAACATTGAAACCAAGCGGTCTAAACCAAGAAGACTAGAAAATGAAAACTATGCACTAGTAAAATTTAACATTTTCTAAATCTTCTTATTATCCTTCAATTTTTACTATAAGAATAACCGGTATAGAATCAAATATCCGGGACATAATCTGCGTTACATATGTACAAAAAGTAAAAATAGATGTCGCTTTGGCTAGTAGACTTTTAGGGAATTATACAACGTTTTCAGTTTCCGCATCTAGTCTATACAAGCTGGTTGTATTTATAGCTTTAGCACATGTGAAGACAGCCATGTAGAGGTTTACAAACAACGTTTTTGTGTTTATTTGTTTATCGTATATATGATTTGTATTTGCCTTTGAAAAAGACTCATTAAGAGTCGAAAGCGCTTAGGCTAGTTAGTTACTAGTTTCGTACTGTTCGTCGTCAGTTTATTGCATCTATTTTAATTAATCACTGACACACATGATCCCTTGGTGGATCCAGTACGCTTGAAAGGGTTGTTATTCGCCATATGATTTATATTCTTTGTATATATATATATATATATATATATATATATATATATATATATATATATATATATATATATATATATATATATATATAAGTATTGCGGATTTAGTTTATCATTCTCATGTAACGTTATGGTTTAAAATCAAACGTGGACCTAGAAATATACATACAATTCTACAAAGGCCTGAAATATAGTGAACTCATCACAGTGTGTGAGAATTTAACAAGGGTTCAAGCTTTATCACAGCACTTGTTCACTGCTATTAGATGCCAACAAGAACTTGATTTGCATATATCCAGAGGCAGTTTGTTCCCATTTTGAATGACAACGCTTGAAAAAGGTGGCCATGTGAATAAAAGAAGTAAAGACCGCACAATATATCTCTGTATTTCTCCATTTACCAAAGATGACAAGTTTTCAGATCAAAAATTTCATTTTGCATATGCTGACCAGAGAATAGACTTTATTTGCTTGAAATTGCCAGTCATCGATAGTTTGGTTTTATGCACCATCCGACACTATGCACCACATTTATCGTCTCTGGGAATCGAAAAGTTCGTTACCAAAATCCACTTTAGTCAAAATTGTACGTAAGGAACATGGCTTTGAGCAAGCTTTGTTGCGTTTTGTGGCTTTCTCTGGTTATATATAAACTATGAAACCTGCAGGTAATGGAAAATTGACGTTGTGGCAGTTGTATTACGTCACCTTCTAAAGGCATCATCCAGTCTTTCCTCACACTGACGTACATAAAGCTACTAACCAATACACGAAGAACTTCACATGTATCTGATCTGAATCATCTCTTCCTCCAAACTATTAGTAGGTAAAGGAAGCAAACCAGAAAAAGATCAATCATCTTTCCTTTCTCCTCACCAACAATTTTAAGTAATTTATCAAGAAAGTTATGTGAGTGTTTAGTGGAATTTAAATGTTCTAGACGATTGTGACGTTTGTTGGCAATTAGAAGATGGATGTATTTTATTTTCGAGGAGAGTGCCTCTGTCTGCGCTCTATTACGCAGTATTGGAATCTCTGAAATTATGCAGGTTTCAAACGTTCCTTTGAACTTCAATTGGCGCTTCAGTTGATGGGCAGGTCAGTGCTGCACATAGATATGCAAATGTGGCACAGATAACGAAGTATATAAACGCAATCTTGTCTCTGGTTAATTTTATAAGGGTGAGACTTTAATATTTAGCCATATATTTATATGACTCGTGCTCCACACCTGCTTTTTAGATGTGAAGATAATTGAAGTACAGTGTAGCACAAATGCGATAGATAATAAAGACAAGGACACGGCTCATGAATTTTTAATTTAGGAAATAGAGAAAACTTTAGTTTCAATATTTCCAGATAGCGCCAATCCCACTCAAATATAACGCAAATGACTTGCCAAGAAACATGATGGTAACTAAAGTTCAGTTTGTCCATTATTTAGTATGACATTAAGACTGAAAATAGTTGCAGTAATCGTGGCACAATGATCAAGGACAGCTGCAACGGATCGCAAACAGTCAAGAACAACTGAGGTGGTCGAACCACAACGCTCGATGATACTTGTATCAATCGTTCCCAATGCTTAATATCGGTGATAACAAATGTCAAACACGGAAAGGAACCATAAGTATTATTGTAGAATTAATGTAGTCCAAATATTTCATTGTCAATGAAAAGTTTGTTTTTCTAGACACACTTTTATCTTCAGAGACAATGCTCCCTTTTCACCGTCAAAATGTTACTCATGTCATATCCCACTCATTTCATATCCTTTATATATTGCTTCATTTGCGAGAAAAAAACTTGTCACGGTATAGTCTTCTCGGTTAAATTTTCTTGTAATCAGTAGTTATAGAATTTCACTGCATAAATCATCATTGTACAATTCATCCCAATTACGATACATAAAATAAAATGAACTAATTAGCAACAGTGCTTAACTATGTATATTCATCCCAATAATGATACATAAAATAAAAGGAACTAATTAGCAACAGTACTTAACTATGTATATTCATCCCAATTACGATACATAAAATAAAATGAACTAATTAGCAACAGTGCTTAACTATGTATATTCATCCCAATTACGATACATAAAATAAAAGGAACTAATTAGCAACAGTACTTAACTATGTATATTCATCCCAATTACGATACATAAAATAAAATGAACTAATTAGCAACAGTGCTTAACTATGTATATTCATCCCAATTACGATACATAAAATAAAAGGAACTAATTAGCAACAGTGCTTAACTATGTATATTCATCCCAATTACGATACATAAAATAAAAGGAACTAATTAGCAACAGTGCTTAACTATGTATATTCATCCCAATAATGATACATAAAATAAATTGAACTAATTAACAACAGTGCTTAACTATGTATATTCATCCCAATTACAATACATAAAATAAAAGGAACTAATTAGCAACAGTGCTTAACTATGTATTCATCAATAAACAATGCAGATGCAATGGAAAAGTTATTCTTTATACCATTTTAATATATTTTTTAATATAAATTATTGCAATAATGAAACAAAATGTACTTTGGGACTGCATCAAAGAAGAAAGTCTGTGATTGAAGTAAATTTAAAAAGATTGTTGCAGTTTTTAGAAGTCGTGGCCTGGTCGTAATGGATGATTTTACTTTGTTTTAGTTGATGCTTTCTTAATTAAGGTACACTAATCAGTTTGTTGACTGACCGTTCCTTAAAATCCAGTGAATATTGTCCAACGGGCTGAAAACATTCACACTTTTGATGTAAAGCTATCAAGCAAGGATTGATCATATATACACGTTGATCGGTCCATGTATTTACTGCACACCACCGCCAATCAACACAAACCACCACAGACCACATTTATAAATATATTGACATGTATATCTGTATTTGTTGTAACAAATGCTACAGGATTTTATATTTTTATGACTGTAAATAGTACAGAATATCTCTAGTTAAATTTTGGTCATATGACCTGAGTATCTTAAGAGTTTGGTATAGCATAGGATCATAAATAGAAGCTTACGTTTGTGTTGACAATTATTAATAATAATCTTAATAATAAGACTTAAATGACACTTATGTTTTTATTTTCAGTGGCTGACGGGGTTTAGACTTTTCTAGAATCATTATGTAACTTCCCATTGGTGGGGCTCAGTCATTTGAATAGGCCAATTCGAAACAAAATGAATAGTGTATACTGTCACTCGTAGTCTATTGTGAAATACAGTCGCAAATTGACAGTGTATATAAATAGAGAGCTGAGCAATCAATTTTATTCCGATTTTTGAATCATTCACATTTGTGTTCCTGTTGTAAGTCTGCAGATTTCTTTTATATTGTACTTAGAAATTATTCGAGAGGAAAGGTGTTTGTGATTTGTAACGAAGCTTTAACAATTTTTCATTCATATCGCTACGATGTCTGCAGTGTGGCAGTTTATAGTGATGTCTAGCACTGGGGCATCATGCCGCAGACATGTAGCATGATGTCCCACCCTGTCACATTATCCTGACACCAGGCCGACCAGTCCTAACACTAACCTCTTAATGCTGAGCGTCAAGCGAGGCAGCAGTTAGTATCAATTTTGTAAATCTTTGGTATGACTCAACCGAGGGATCGAACCCAGGACCTCCTGCATCCGAGGCGGACGCTCTAACCACTAGGCCACTGGAGCGGTTATTCGAGAGGAAAAGCATTTGTTTGGAATGTTCAGTGGAAGTAGAAAGTGTTTTATTTTGGACTAGAATATTATCCTGGAACTGTTGTAGCTTGTAGTGAATGCTACTCAAGTGCTCTAAAATAAATTTGAAAATCTCAAATGAATCTGAGCAATTACTCACTTGTTACAGCAGTCTCCAATGTCAGTAACAGACATAGGTCATCGGGTAGTAGTTTATTCACAACAGTCTGATGTGCTTTTTTCCAACCAATCAGCCGTACCTGAGAACATATCCCAAAATGATGGATAAACGATTAAATATACTGCTTTTCTCAAAACCTATAGCGAATTTAAACAAGACGACTCTTTACGACAGAACATCTAACAAGTAAGAGACATAAGGTACTGAGAAGAATGAAAAAGAAAATAGCAAAACCAAAACACGTGCGTAGAAAATATTCCCGATGAGCTGTTAAAGATAATCGGTATCTGCGGGAAACATTCGCTGTAAAGTGAATAATACAAGACAGAGAAAAATTGCCATCAAACATATTTTCTACCGACAACCAAATAACAGACTTCCATTTTTAGGAGAAAAAACACGTGACCAACAACCGGAACTGACCCTACTTTAAATCTGGGAAGACTTTATCTCGCAACAATAGTAAAAAAACAACAGAGCAATATAAAGAAAGATACAAATGAACATATATTCCATTTTTTTGGGTACTGTGCTTTTGCACCAAGACGCCAAGTTATGAGACTTACAGAACATTACTATCACACACAATACTAGCACGTGCCATTTCGTACGGATGAAAAGCTTGCCCTTTGTAAATATCCATCCCCAAGGTGTCACGAATGCAATGTGCAAAACACATCAAGAGAAACATTAAATTACAACTGCAAAGAAAAGTTTACCTGACTGGGAATCCGAAAGGAACAGTCATAGAAAAAGTTTTGGGTGATTTTGGGTTCATTAATGACGACGGCTCCGTTCTCTTTGAGGGTAGATACTAGGAAATAAAGCAATTTATTCGTGACCACTCTCTCTTCCATAAATATTATGATGGCACGTAAAGGAAAAAGTAATACACATACCGAAACAACACTTTACAACTGCAAAAAATAGGACTCGATTTGAAAGTAAGTCTCATTACAAAATTTTCTATATGCCAAGTTTCACATTTGGTTTACATACAACATATTTTCACTGATAAATTTGCATTAAAATGCATTTTATAGGTGGTTTACGGTAGGTTTGATGTGGTTTGTGATGGTTTGTTGTGGTTTGAGGTAATTACATGGACCACATGTTGAGTGTTTTCAGATATTGTTCCATTTATTGCGTCACTGATCAGCAACTTACTGAATGAACTGCGCAATTATTAAACTCAGTGTATTCACCTGGTGGAAAGTGTATACACCTGGTGGAAAGTGTATACACCTGGTGGAAAGTGTATACACCTGGTGGAAAAAGAGAATTTAGTACCTTAAAGAGGAGGTTGTAAGCGTCGAATCTCAGCAGTTTTACAAGCACGAATGGATTGATAAAATTAAAGGAAGCATTAATAAGATATCGGTAACTACAGTTACTCATTTAAAGGTAAGTATTGTAGAATTGAATATCGTACTGTGTTTTATTCAAATATATGAGGAAGATATTTTTTGTTTGCCATACTACAGTTTCCTATAGGATAGGTAAGTACATTTACTCTATTCGAGTTTATTTTTAACGAACCATCGAACAAAGATATAAAACAGTTTTATTACCCAGAGACGTAGTTGATAAATATCAGTCTCAATAAGTTCAGTGGAAACGTCGAGATGGTAAATAAAAGAAGTGTTAACAGAGGGGGTGTATAATCACGGATATTTAACTTAACGGTTACAAGTTTATATGCGGTGATACATTTTTGTGTGCTTTCCTGAAACAGATCTTACGTATGTTGTAATTGAGAAGGTGAATGACGTACTTTTAGTACAACGAATATAGTTTTAACATATTATTCCTTCACTTGGCAATACACATAGTTGACTTAATTGTTTCCACGGCATATGGAGTGAATGAACTTCAAAACTGGAATATAATTGCATCGTCTGAGCGATATGAACTTTGATTTCAGATGTTTGTAAGTTTAGTATTTCAATCGGTTCAACCAGATGGATAAGCTAAGAAAATAAGTTTCAAATGATCGCCTTTGCAACGATATAATTTAACGGTATTTCAGAAGTAAAAACAGAGAGACTGAGCATATTTTAAAGCTAAAATCTGTTTAAATTGCAGACAATTATACTGGAAAATATCAAGGGGTAATTGGAGAAGAATGGCAATGAGTAGCTTGGTCGTGGATTGCAAGGTGGTACTGCTTGGTAGCGTCAGCGTTGGAAAATCGTCCCTCATCGAGCGCTACATACATGACAAGTATTCCACTACATCTGACATGGCAAGTATAACATATAATATACCAACTGGCGTATTGACTATAACATTTAACATGGTAAGTATAACATATAATATACCAATTGGCGTATAAACTATATTCCACAACATCTAACATGGTAAGTATAACATATATACCAACTGGCGTATTGACTATATTTCACAACATCTAATATGGTAAGTATAACATATACTATACCAACTGGCATATTGACTATATTCCACAACATCTAATATGGTAAGTATAACATATAATATACCAACTGGCGTATTGACTATATTCCACAACATCTAATATGGTAAGTATAACATATAATATACCAACTGGCATGTTGACTATGTTCTACCATATCTAACGTGGTAAGTATAAAGTAGGATGTACCGACTGGCATATTGACTAAATTCCACTTTATCATTAGTTTGTAAACATTTTTAACTAAAGATTTTACTCTTGTAAAGTGCATACATACTTTAACAATAGTACAAGGTCACTACTGAATGTGTCAAAATTGTTATGTATATGCTCGCTATTTTCTCCATTAACTTATTTACTGTCAGAATCATGCAGTATAACTTTATACTGCACTGCTTAATACTGCAAGGCAAGTGTCTACACATAGCATTGTATGTTAGGAACTTGATTGTAAACAAAATGCATACTTTTGTAGCAGATGCCGAAGTTTTTATATATTAAATTCCTCTGTGGATGAAAAGTTATTTGGTCCATTGAAAAGTAGAGATGATAAAGCTGACGATGTGGATGAATTCAGTGAGTTACAAAATAAACTTTTAACCAAGCAAATGAATGAATGTGATATCACTAATATCCCCAACAAATGTGAGACATGCATCATTGAAAATATGAATCAATTAACCACTTGTTAAGGAGAAATTTTCGTAACAATTCTTAAATCAACTGATTCAGATTCTGTGGTCTGTACAAATCGAACAGAAAGTCATATTAAGGCCAAGGGCTATCCCGTCGGCCTCAGAGATTCCACATTTTTTAAGTCAGTTCCAGCACAAAATTAAAACAATATGCAAGTGAAGAAGCGAGTTTAGACAGAAAAGCAAAAGCATCAGAGCTGATAAGTAAAGACGATAAAGAAGCCTTATTTCCAATCTCGAAATTGGTTGTCACACTCTAACTGCATTGCAATTTTCTTCGACATAATATTTTGACAAAAAAGTTTTTTTTTTTAAATTTATAGTACAAGTCATAGAAGTCATGTAAATAGATGGGGTTTCTCTGTCCCTTACCCTTCGAATGTTAGATATCTTGGCCTCAACGTAAGTTAACGTAAATGTAAAAATATCTAAAATAGGGTGGTAAGTGTTTGAGGAAACTTGGAATAAGATCCCTCCAATAAAGAACATGCAAGTGATAGGGCATAAAAATGTCATCTATAACTGGTAATAATAATAATAATAATAATAATAATAATAATAATAATAATAATAATAATAATAATAATAATAGTGCAATCGTGACTATATTGTGCCTTTTCAAAGTTAAGCTATGAAAGTCCATACAGTGCAAAGTTTAGGAACACAATCTCTTCCAAACAGTCTTAAACATGTAGTCAAGCAATATAAAATGGACATACGTTAACATTCTTAGAAATATATACACAACAAAAGAACCTATCAAAAGAAAAGGTATAACATCCGTAAAATCACACGGTAAACATTTTTTTAATGCGCAGCACAGTCTTTTAAATCGTCCAAGTCTTTTATAGAAAATCATCAAATAGCTTCTTAATCTTTCTGTATAAAATCGCAGAAGTCTATAAACACTTGACAAGAGTGTTCTCGACTGTGTTGTTGTTGTTCGCCCGTCGAGTCGACGAAGACCACTCTAGTCATCCATGAGTTGGAGGGGCTGATTCTATTCTGTGTGTGCGCAAGTGGCCGATAAGGCCAATCCTTGCATCTGTCTCCACTGTAAACAGACAGTGGCAGAATATGATATGGTCTGGTGTTATTTACCATTCTTATGGTATGCATGGGTAAGACGTCTTTATCTTATATGGGAGCGATACAACTAATCACGGGTTTACTGTTCTTAAACTTGTTTGCGAAGTTTTCAGATAAGTGATATCATGTTTGAAATCTCTATAGGCAATATTGAATTCAACACAGGTAACTGCATGGCAGCTTTGGCTGCTTTATTTACTCTTTTTAATAATAATGAAATTAGACATCCAGCAGTACAAAATACTTTTCCAAGACCGTAGAAGTAAATCATGTTTTTCTAAAAGATTGGAATTACGGTTTGTCAATTTAAGGATTTTGGAAGACAGTCGGTGTCGAAAGGAAATATTAAAATATGATACAATTTGTTTTGTCTTGTAATTAAATTATTCGAGCATGGTTCTGATTTTTGATGTAAAAATGGAGGTTTTATCTGGCATAGAGGCACGAGATGGTGCCGTTGGTTTGTTGGTTTCAAAACTGTAATCTTCTTTAAATATTTGGATCCGTTTGCAAAAGCCACTATAGGAGGCTTGGATTTCACCGGATATGCTACTCGCCCCAGAGACAAGCACTACGGTTAATCGTTAATCTTAAC